TTGTTTTGACCCACCAAGCGACATGTGATTAGTAAAATTCCAGTCTAAAACCATTTATCCCAGATCCTACTTAATTTCATGGTCGCTTTAATCGGTCGGTCGCGTGACCTTGCGACCGAGCATCTATGAATGGGAAAGAATATTGGTTCTCCCGGCTATCGGTCGTATTTGTTGCTACGTAAGGCATGGCGTATATGAGTATCCCGATGGTTATGTTTTTCCTGTCGTCTGCTTTGGAGTTAAAAGGGCAACGCAACGACTTTTGTACTTTGCGCAAATACCGCTTAGAATGGATCCCAGACGTTGAGTGCCTGTAAAACACCCGCTCGTTTTTCACCACACGCAATCGAAGTAGCAAAAAAAATTAAAGAAAAACGAGCAGTGTCACCCCTTCAACTGGCAGCCGGAACAAGCGGCCAGGTGATCTGGAGCCGATTTATGCCTTCAATGTTGATCATAGCCGTGCGCTGGGGTTGGCAAGGCACAGGACACCCGCTGAGTACCAGACATGGGTATGGTTCGGCTATTCCCGTCATTGCAGCGATTGGACACGGGCCACTACCCTGATGCTTCTCAAGCTATCGATTATCACGAGCCCAAATCCAGTGCCCACGCAATGCTCGGGTCCATTCTATGAGCCGCATTCAAATATTGTCACTGTGGAGTACTGCAACAGCACAGATACGTCATCAAGTTTTGCGAAGGAGAGATTGAAAGAAAACGCTCGCTTTTGTCCTTGAAAATACATCACAACAAAGGAGTTTCTTGGCCAGTGGCGTTGCGTGCGAGTATCCTTGAATCCCAGGATAGTGCTACTGCTCGCATAAAGTGGGAAACATTCCAATCGCATATCGTTGCACCGCCCCTTTTAACGCAACCGACGGGCGACGCCATTAGTCTTACACCTCATAAGCAGACAGTGCGACAGAGCGTCAAGCGAGAAGAATCAAACCTTTGGCATCAGCACAAGCTCTAAGCTAATTGCGAAACGTTCATAACAGTGACATTCTTGGTAGAAACAATCGCATTGCCACAAAACAAAAAGAAAGAAGTGCGTATTGTCTTTCAGCCTGCCCGCACCGAACAAACGTTATCATTCACTATGCAGGTCAACGGGTTTTGCGCAGTCAACAACAATACTCGCTTCAGAGCCAACAGATATCGTCTCAATGCACAAGGAATTGCCCTGGCGCCTATTGTCTTGCATTATCGTGATCGTGATCAAAATTCATTTATCATCAGCAGAATTTCATTCTTTACAAAATCAAATACAAAGTAATGAATTAACTAGAATTGTGTAGTCAATTGAACGAAGGTCTCGAACCGTTAAATCATTTTGTAGGCTCATATTATCTATAATTTTCCCCAGCCACTTACCAAGCCACGTCGCTCTTCGGAACAGCCAGCGGCTTCGTGCTTTCTGGATATCTGCTAAACATCTACACCGAGCTGACGGTGGAAGCATCGAGGTAATCATTGACATTGACCATAGCCGGTGGCAGGCTAAAAAAGAAAACAGTAGATGCTCTGCCCCAAGCGCGAGCTTTCTGTCTTTTGATAGCACTCCGTGGCACGTGCAGCCAAAACACGGTGGAAGCATAGCCTCCTAAATACTGGCAAAGCCTGGCAGATCGCCACGAGAAGCGGCCGCCGCCGAAATGGAAAAGGTGGAGGTGCAGACAACGGATGAAAGGAGAGTCACGTGACTGGCGCCCCGCTGCGGCGAGACGCCGAAACACACTTCTTCCAAGCGAACAAGTATGTATCGGGTCCTCGCCGCTGCAAAAATTGTGCACTGACGTCCAGGTTCCCCGAAAAATGGCCTTTTTATGCTCTGTGCTACGAGATCCTCGCACTCCAAATCTGCGACCGGGCACTCTATGGCTCCGTCGTCGAACTGCCAGGCTTTGTGAGTATAGAGGAGGCTATATATATATATATGGTGGAAGGCAACGAGCGAGTGTTGGAGGCGGAACGTCTAGCGAATTCTGAAACTGTAACCCACTCTCGTCACTGTACGGGCTTGAGAGTAACGTTTATGGTACTTTCAGTGATGATTCATTATTTTATGAACCGTGACAGACGTATCTGTTTCGATGGCAGTACATCGAAGTACCTGATCTATAAAATCCGTTCGTTCTCCCTACAATTGCTGTGTCGCCATCTTACCAGGCTGGGACTGACTTCCGATAGCAACGTCTGGATTGGCGCCTGGTGGTTGGGCTATCTGGTCGGCTCCATTTTCTCCCTGGTCGTGGCCTTTCCTACCAGCCTCCTTCCCAAGGAGCTCCCATGTAATAAGATAAAAAAGCAACTCCTACTCTTTGCTTTGTTCTCCATCATCGCTCTGCCCTTTTTTTTTTTTTTCTTACTATGTGAGATAGGGTTCTGTTTAATGGGGCCGGACCGGGACGGGTCGAGCCGAGTCGGGTCGGGTTGGGTCGGGTTAGGTTCAGTCGGGTTGGGTGCGGTTCGGTAGGGTTTGATAAGGTCGGGTAGGGTTCGGTCGGGTCGGGTTGATTAGGAATTGGTTGAGTTCGGTTAGGTCATGCTGGGCCGAGTCAGGTTTGTGTAAGGTCGGGGCGTCAGTCTACTAGTTGTCCAATATGTTCGTTTTGTTTATCAATAACATATGTAACCTGATTAAAAAATTCCCGAGACTGCAGGTAACGACACACACACACACACACTCAAAAGTCTCAAACTTTTCAGTGCGTGTATTTATTTCACATGTGTAATATTGTGCAAGCCTTATGCTGTCCCTGACAGCTCAAGAAAAGCAGAGTGTGGCTAACTGGTCTCACGCTCTTTGCTTCCTGATTCGTGCTTCAGCGTTTTTATCAGCTACGGTCGCACTCTTATTGCATCAGGGGCAATAAAAATATGCTTGAAATGCACGCCGTCCTATGCTTCTTAAGCAACATGTCACCGACAGTCTGTCACAAAGGTAGATGAGAAACATATACGAAAGATATCTTAAACCTCTCGCATAAGTAGCTGTTAGTAAATTAGAAAAAGAGCGGTAAAGTCTGAAAAAATACGACTTAGTTAAAGTTAATGTTAAACTTAAAGTTCTTTCCTTTTTTTTTGGGGGGGGGGGGGGCAATAATTTACACCATAATAGAGAGTATATATTCAGGGATATTCAGGGAGAAGTCCCAAGGCTTCTAAACGAAACAAATTAAAAGGCCCCATTGATACGTTAAGGTGATTACACGATTCAATAAAAAAGCAAAAATTTGGTCAGTCAAATTATTCTAAAAGGTCGATATCGGAATACAGAACAGGGGTCTCAAACACGCGGCCCGCGGGCCGCATGCGGGCCACGACTCGCTGGGACACGGCCGGCAGGCAACCGGCTACGAGTCTCGGTTCCTATGTCTCGAGCGCTAGAAACGGCGTGCGCGGTAGTAATCACTTCTCGCCAATTCTTTTTCTGCTCGAAAAGTAGCTCTTCTGTTGTAACGTATTGACATAGTTTATACTTATCGGTGTTCATTTGCTTTTTGTTTCGCTTTAGTTTATGGTTTTCAGCTTTTGTTACGTTAAACACATGTACAGCTATTCCGCTACTAGGCTGCAAGTGCGAGCTCTTCGCTGAAGGATGCATCTCGGGGGAACGTGACAGAAGAGCACACGACAAAACAGCACGGTCAAAACAGCACGCGTCAAAACAGCGCGGCGACAAAACAGCACGCGTCAAAATAGCACGCGACAAAACAGCACAGCGTCAAGACGGCACAGGGTAGAAGAGCACGTGCCAAAACAGCACGGCGTCAAAACAGCACAACGACAAAATAGCACACATGTAGCAACTTCGAGCACGCTCTTCAACTCTCTCTGCGCGAATAATTTCAAACCTCCTTGACCCTTTCAATTTTTGTTGCTAGGTTATACTATATTGCCAATGTCCTGTTTTGAGGCTGTGCTGTTTTGTCGCGGTGCTGGTTTGACGCCGTTCTCTTCTGTCGCTGTTCCCTTTTGACGCTGTGCTGCTTTGTCGCTGTGCTGTTTTGACGCTGTGCTGTTTTGGCATGTGCTCCTGAGTGAATTGAGCAACGGAAACGACATTGTAATTACTCTCCTCTTTTATAAAAAATGCGAGCACGTTTGCGAAACGGTGTCATTTTGATTCTTGTTACCACATCAGGTGAGGGTCGAAAGTAGTCATATAAACAACTTAAATTGATATAACTGGCAAAACTGTGAGTTTACCAAAAGCATAAAGGACGAGGTCTCTTCTCCTTCAAATTTTTTTAAACCTCCCTCCCCCCTTCCATTTTATGTTGAGCCTCGACCTACCCGTGGTGGACTATCTGGTCCCCACACTCAAATGAGTTTGAAATCCCTAATGCAGAACAACAGCCGATGAAATGATAGAGAACAACGGATGATGGAATCAAAGGCGCAAGTAATGCAGCGGTGTGATTCGCCGGGAAGGGCTAGTGTTGTGAAGTCGTGACATATATGAATGTGAACCGCTCAAACGCCCTAACAGTATAACCACAGCTCCTGCATATACCATAATCACTCTCAAAATAAAATTAACTAGCTTCATTTAGTCCGTGCTTTTCAGTCGTACTCTCCTGGAATCAAAGAGACAGGTGATTGTGTGCCAACCTTTGCGTTGACAAAAAAAGTGAAAGCAGAAGACAGTAACAACAACCAAAAAAACTTTTTAACATCCGTATAAGCTTTAAAAGTAATTTCGTAGATCCGTTGGTGTGTGTATATTCCATCTGCCCTCTTTTACTGCAAAAAGACACAAAACTAGCAGTATTGGTAACTTTAAAGGGACTTATGCATGACCAAATATATGTAACTTATAGCCTGCAATATTCTCGTGCTTTATTTTCTTTCTAAAATGTTAAATCTATGTTGCACGAACCTTACGAACCACAGGCCAGATGTGGGCGAAGCTTGAGAAGAAAAGCAAAGCAGCCTCCAGGAAGACCAAGGCCAAGAATGCCCCCGCCATGGGTTTAAGGAATTTCCCATCGAACCTGTCGACCTTGCTCCACAACAATACGTTCGTCTTCCTCTGCCTCGCCGGTACATCCGAAAGTAGGTATTCCACAAAAAAGAATGTTTCGTAAGGCCCACCTTTTCTGGATAACAAAAAGCGCAGTGCTGCATTTATGACGTCATCTAAAGAAGGCCAACGCGGGGCACGCATACGCTGCGAGTGCAGCAACAGTGTTCGGCTAAAGCTCGTGGTCAATCAGCGATAACACGGGACCCAGCCAGACATGTACGTAACGCGTTGCAGGTAACGAGTTACTTTTACATAGTTACTTTTTTCGGTAACGACTAACGCGTTGAGTTGCTTAGAAAAAGAACGAGTAACGTACATAGTTACTTTTAAGGCCGGTTAATGAGTAACTGTGTTTCGTTACATACGAGGAGTAGCGTGTACAGGACAATTTAAACTGCCTTGCTCTAATTATAACCTGAGTATGCGTCTATTGAGAAAAAAGGCGGATGGGCCACCCGAAAAACAACTGAACAGTATGACAGCATAGTAACCCTTGTCGCTCAGCGCGCCAGCCGAACTCTACAGCTGGCACCGTCTTCACCCAGAAAACACAACAAAGTTCGTTGATCGAACCTTCTAGAATCGCATACAGACCGAATGCAAACCCAATGGTTGTCAACACGTGGAGGTACAGAACCATTTGTCAAATTCAAACTTTAGAAGCACAGAGAACAAATGAGAGAGAGGGGAATCCCAGATTTACCAGCACTTCCTGAAGCACAACACTGCCGTTCATTCGAGCGCGTCTGTTGAACGACTCTTCAGCGTCGCCGGAGTTGTATTCTCAAGGAAGCGGAGGAACATAACTGATGAAAACTTGGAGAGGCAGCTACTGCTGAAGTGCAATGACTACTGAAAAGAAAGCAATACGCCATGGAACAAAAGCAGTTGTGTAACAACGTTTTGAGGTAAAGTATAATGTGTTCCTTTCTGAAAATCGGTGACGAGTAACGTATTTAGTTACTTTTTTCGGGGTAACGTGTACATGTCTGGGCCCAGCCAAACGCTGGCACAGCACAAGTTGCGTTCTTGAGGTGATATCGACAATTCCGCACTACGCGTTGTTTTCTTGGTGCTGGTGAGCCCTTCTTCAGACGGCAATTTTTTCTTATAGCGTCTTGCCTTCGCAGCTCCAGCAGCACAAGCCTCCCGCGTTCACACGCAACGATATACAAGGTGTTTCTGCGAAAGCTTTGAAAAATCTCTTCTGAAGTACGTTGTTTCAGATTTTAAAAAAACAACAAAAAACTATGCGGGAACAGACTATACACCTTTCCCACAAGGGCGCAGCCATCTTGGATGTCGTCACTTTTGGTATGCGTTAAAACATAATTCTAATTTCCCTACGCCGCTATAAGCTGTTCATAAAAAATGTGCGATTGTCACACATCCTTGTTTTACCTCACCTATATTTCTTCGCATATTCCAGTTTACAATGTCTTATTATTATTTTTTTTTGTCTCCCGTACCAGAAACGAAACACACGTGACTGAGAACGAAAGGAAACGGAAAACGTCTATACCGACCTTGGCGGTGTTAAAGCATTGCAAAAGCACACTAATTAACGATAATTAACGAATATTTACTAATCATATTTTAATTAGTGAAAATAAAGGTATGGTTCCACTGAGAAACTTGCTAAGCAACATCGAAAGCCACTAAATCGATTCTTCTTAGTAAGATATAAGGCAAAAGCAGCATTTTACGGCGTTTAAAAAAAAAAACTCTGTTTGGACGCGATTCTAGATTACCGTGTCTTATCCGAACGAATCTTTGCGCCCACGGTTCTTCTCCCCCGGTGGTGGCGGCGCGAACCCACTGCCTCGCCTCCCTCGTAGGATGGAGGGGAGGACATGTCCTGACAACCTACGTTCATCATTTATGATCGTGTTTTTTTTTGTATTTTTTTCTTAAATGCTAGATTTAATAAAAAAATATTTGCGTAGCAAAACGAGGTATTTATAAATACCCTCGATTAGGTATAGCTGGGCATCTCTATAGATGTTTAATTTTATGTCAGATGCATCGTTCACTTGCCAATCACATTTAGGCAATGGAACTTCTGAGGTCACACTCCATAAATTTAAAATTAGCTTAGATATGAACAAGTGGAACCTTGGGAATCACTTTTACGAGTTCAGGTGGCTTTTCGTTTAGGCATGGTGCAATAATGAAAACCTAGGCTATATACCAGAGCTGGCAGTAATGTAATTACAGTAATGAAATTACAGTAATTTAATTACTTGTTCCAGTAATTAGTAATGTAATTCATTACTTTGTGTAGCAGGTAATTTGGTAATGTAATTAATTACTCCAGCGACGGTAATTGTAATTAAATTACCTAATTACTTTTTCGCACCAGGCATATTTTTTGTGTCCACAATACACAAGAGCGCTTTTCTTTTTATTTTACTTTTTCTTTTTCCTCTACACCTTTCCAAAAAACGCTCTTCGGCCGCCGCTATGTTGCTGATGCTAATACGACTGGTGCAACTCTCTCGCCCGCTATCAGCCAGACATTTTCTGCCACTCTCTTGAACTGTGAAAACCCGCTTAGCGCGATTCTCTACCTATGTTTTGCGGGTTTGCATTCGACGTTTTCTGGCCCGTCTTGAAAGTTTCCGCTTACTTTTTCTGATGCATACTGCGTACCCTCTCTGTGTTATCTTCCACTGTGAGAAATAGGGCTGGTAAGTGCCTTCCATTCGAGCTTTTCTGCTCGACATTCTCGGGAAACGAAGGAGGGGAAGTAGGTCGAACTGAGGCCCCTGGTGGAACGGCCCTCGACGCGATTTTGCGAACAATGACAATTGTTCTCCCCCCTCCCAGAGATAATCCGCGTGGGGTCCTCAGTCATTTCCAAAAATAGTTGTCCGCGTTGGGGTGGGAAACGGATCAGTCGCGTGCGTTCCTCTGTCCATCGGTAAACATGCAACAGAGAGTTCTAGCTGTCTGCCATGAACTGTGTAAATAATGTAAATAAAGTTATCTGTAAAAGGAAGTTATTAATAGCTCCTTCATATTTAAAAGTATACAAAAGTAATGCGAAAGTAATGTCATTACTTTTAAAAGTAATTTGTAATGGTAATTAATTACTTTCTGGCTGTGGTAATTTGTAATGTAATTTAATTACATTTCAGCAATTTTCAGCAAAGTAATTAGTCATGTAATTTAATTACAAAATATGAGTAATTTGGCCAGCTCTGCTATATACTATTGAATATTCGATTCGAAAATATTCGGCCAAAACAACTATTCGCTTCGATTTCACTTAAAACTCCAATTTCACTATTCGCAGATGGCTAGACAACTGTATCGAAGAGCCTGTTCTCTCAGCATGTTATTTATTGTACACTGTCATCACCAGAATTACTATTTGTAGTTCCCTGCTTCATATCGTTTGGCTTCATATATTTGCGTTCTCGTGTGTATCGTGCATAGTAACCTTATTTGATCTATCATTTGCATTAGTCTTCTGCCCTGTGTGAATATGACAAACTTCCTATGCGCTTTGATTTATGTCTGGTTGGTTCTCGGGGTCACAAATATTTTGTAATGTAATAAATAGTAAAACATTGCACATAACATTAAAGTATATGTGTTAGATTTCGTTTAAAAAACATTTTTTAGTTTAAATATTTGTATTTAAGTGAATATTTATTTAGTATCTCCTCATTTCTATTGCCTTATCTAATTTCCGGCTCTCGAGACTGCAACAAGTCCTCCATCCGGCTCTCTAGCCAAAACGTTTGGAGACCCCTGGATCTATACCATAGGGGCAATGAAATTTGGTTCCACAGGTAGCGCCATTTTATGCGGCATTCTTCCCTCCTTGAGACGGACCGTTGCCGAACTCTGACACAGCGTTCCTGTACAATTCTTCGGTGTCGTGGCCCTCCCAAAGTTGCCCCTATTGGCCGCCAGTCGCGCCGACTGGCAGCCGACCGAGGCGCCACCTGTTCGCTGCCCTGGGGCCATATGAAACAACTCACCAACAAAGCCGAAATTGCTGGGAAATTCGCGCCGTCTGATGCGAGCCTAAGAAAGTGTTTAGTCAACATCACCTTAAAACAACTCAGCCCACCCAAAGGACCGACATTCTTATTTGTTTCTTTCTGCAGCTATGATCATGACCGGAATGGCCACCTTCATGACGAAATTTTTTGAGGCACAACTGGGCATGAGCTCTCCCAATATAGCTCACATTTTGGGTACGTTTTCTGAGTTTTTATTTCTCTCTTGTTTTCGTAGAGTTACAGTATGTCGTGTTTGCCGAAAGAGGAGTGTTGTTTCCCGAGAGGATCACCTCGTTGCTGTTGAAGATTTCACCCCAGAGTTAAACGAAAGTTTGATGGCAGTAAAGTTCTGAAATCAAAACACGCAAGTGCTGTTTTCCAGACCTTTCCCACATTCAACAACATATTATACCATTTACAACTGTAAGGAGAAATACTTGGTGTATATTTTGTGCTATGTCCTAACCCTCCAGACGCCAACAATATATGTCCAGCTCTCGAGGTACATTGGGTTTTTACAAAAACATTTTCAAGTCGAGTCGCGTTTTTTCTTTTTCAGCTTAATACATAAAAATAAGGGTTCTATTTTTCTTTTTTTTATGATTCATATCTGTTAACGTATTGTTTCTTAAGTGAGCCTTCAATATTTTCAGAAAGTTGTAATTAAATATTTTAGAACAAAATAGCAATCTTCCTTATTCTGAGGTTATGCATGACTTGCACTGGCTTTATATCAGCGGTCATTGTGATGGCCTTGCCTTTGAGCACGCAGCATCTGCAGCATACGTTTCAAGCAACCGAATTTGTTTTCGACGGCAAAAACTAGTACAAATGACCACCAGCACCATGCGATGCCGTCACAGGCAAGCAGGCTAGCCATGCATAAAATTTCACTTGGTGTGATTTGTAAGTTCGAAGAAGCGTTTGCTGAATTCTATTACTTTTTAGAAACCACATCTTTTCCATCAAAACAGACATAACGTAACTTATAAAAGAAAGATAAACGGAACAATCTGATCAATGGCGGGGACGCAGAGATTTGATTTGCCCATATATACAGTTTGGGACTTCACTGATTGGCTCTCGCAGGATGTGTGGCGATGCCTAGCGCATGCGGCGGGATTCTTCTGGGAGGTTACTGCGTGTACAAGCTGAACCTGGGCATCGATGGCATCCTGCGCATGTGTCTCCTGTGCTCGATCGTGCCCTGGTTCACCAGCTTCATCCTCCTCTACAGCTGCCCCAACCCGAAATTCTTCGGTCTCAACCACACTTCCAGCAGGTGAGCACGAGCGCAGCGTGTCCCGTCTGGCGTCAAATGATATCACTGAATCCTAGGATGCAGTGGGTTTAGAGTCCCACAGCAGAGAGTAATATAGTAAACGTAAAGAGTGGACACTTATCGCGGCCCAGATAAGTGCTCCATGGAGCACTTATCTGGTAGTGTTATCTCTGCCGATCGGTAGTGTTATCTCTGCCGATCGGTAGACATCGCTACATCGCTAAAACTGAATAACCTCCGTAACGTTCTTACCCAGTCAGCGACCAGACGTAAGTAAAGCTAAAGATTCTGGGACTAAGTAAAGTTTATCGGGGCATGAAAAAATGTTCAACCACAATCTCTTAGTAAACATATTTTATACTTGGGGAAGAGTTTGTTGTAGGCAATATCCTTGCCTCATCACGTTTGCGGGTGCAAATAGTGAAAACAAAATGCACTATGTTTCGTTTCACCTTGAGTCTAGACGCAGTCGATGCTACGAGCTGATGAGAGTAGTCCGACAGTCTCGAAATCGCATCATCATGGTGGCGATGCGGGCTAGTTGGTTCATGCTTAGTGGATTCGACACAGCGCACAAGAAACGAAGACGAAGTAGGAGGTTGTGGACAGAACAAGAGCTTGTCCTGTGTACACCCTTCTACTCTGTCTTCGTTTCTTGTGCGCTGTGCCGAATCCACTAACGGTCATGGTGTTTATCATGTTTCTGTATGTGTTCTATCATCGCTGAACCAATCAAACCGAAAAGTCCTAGTGACGTGCGCTTTTAATGCTGCTTGATCGGTCCCATTACCTTGTAGCATCGGCAGCGTCTGGACTTAAAGGGTCAATGCAACGTTTGTTTCTATTTAAATACATACAGCTTAGAATTAATCATTGACATTTATGGCCTATGAAACACACGCTGGTTTTCTTCTCTACGTAATACAGTAGTAGAAAAGGTTCGAGAAAAACGAACACTGTTTACCCCCTCAACTCGCAGCCAGAAAAAGTGGCTACGTAATCTGAAGGCCATTATTTGCCGGCAATGTTTTTTTTTTTTTTTTTTTTTTTTATCATAGTCACGCGTTGGTGTTGGCAGAGTACGGGGCACGCGCTGAGTTACATGCATTGTTAAGGTTCGGATATTCCCAACAACCCAGCAATTACGCATGAGCCATTACCCGAATGCATGTCGAGGCAGTGATTGTCACGAGCCAAAATAGAAGATTACGAAGCCTTCGTGTCCTCTGTATGAGCAACATTTAAATATCGTCATGGCGGGGATCGCAAAACTTGATGACGCACTCCATGGGGATCGCATTGTTTTTGTTGTCCCCACAGCTCTGTCATCGAGTTTTGCGAAGGAAAGGCTGAAAGAAAAGGTGCTCATTTAGCCTTGGAATTCCCCGCTACGAAGAAGCTCCTTGGTCAGTGGCGTTGTCTTAGAGTATTCTTGGGTCCTACTCGTGCCAGTTAGCTGGTGTAAAGTGAGAAACGTTCCTACCCAATATTGTTGCACAGCCCAGGAAGTAAGTATAGCTTAATCATGCTGACAAAGAATGAGGAGCCCAGAGTGTGTTGTGAATAAGCAGGGCGCATTCTATCTGTGTGTGTGTCAAGTCACGTGAGGTCACGATGTCGCGTGACTTTGTGACTTCACACGACGTCATGGCATCGAGTGACGTCATGGTGTTACGTGCTATGACATCACGTGACGTCATAAAGTAACGAAACTTCGTGACATCACGCAACGCCATGGCGTCGCGTGACGTCACGATGAAACGTGATGTCACAGTTCTCTGTGGCGGTTAATGATGACGGTTTTCTCACAGAATTCGAATTGCGCGTTATAACGGACACTTTCACCACTTCCGAGGAACGTTTTAGCCGCTGAACCTGTACGAGTCAAATGTTGCTTATAGTGTGCAATGTGGACGTGTCGTGCAGGTTCTTTGTCTCCACCGTGACGAACCAATTTGAGCAGGATTGCAACGCCTACTGCTTTTGCCCCGTCGAATTCTACAACCCGGTGTGCGGCAAGGACAACGCCACCTACTATTCGCCCTGCTTTGCGGGTTGCAAGCGGGATTACGTTTACGATTCCTTGAAGGTGAGGTCTCTCTATATGTATATAGACCCGTAGCTCTCAAGTTTTGAGCAGCGCTCCAGGCGAGCAAAATAAAATATTTGGCTCGGGTTTCGAGCATTCCCCACTAGAGTTTTTTTCTACTTCGTTCCATTCTAAGTTCCAGCGTAGCAGAGGCTACAAGAGCAAGCTGCAAGCTTTCAGCGTCCCTGTCAAGCACGCGCGCTCGTGCAGTGCGAGCATCTTTCAGGAGGACGTGCTTTTGCGAGTAGCTTCGGCTTCGCTATCACGTGAAGAGAAACTTAAGTGCTCGCGGAAGCTATGAAAGAAGGCAAAGATGAAAGGAATGTTTAAAGGGACGCTGCGTCCATAATTATTTTTTTTAATTTTTATTTCTTTAGAGGCTTTGTTATCGCGCATCTTCAGATGCTTGCATTCGAACGTGGCACTTGCAAAATCGAACGTTACAGAGCCACCTGGATGGTTCAGCCATCCTAACATGGTCGCGTCTTGCGGATGCGCTCGCGCCCCCTGCCCCAGAGCAACGGGTCTATAGCGCGGCATGCCAAGGAATTTCAACAATAGTCTTAAACGTTTATAGTCACTGGCAGAATGAGAACGCCAGGACGTGCCTTTCGAACACTCGGCCTCCGGAACGCGCTCCAGTCCTTCCGCAGTGCTTTGGCAGCGCCCGCGCGCTCGACTTGCGTGAGACGCCGAAGAGTTGTCAAAAGTAGGAAGTACGCGCTGGAGGAGGAGTAACTAAAGCTTCACCCACCGTTCTCGCCTTGTCAATGACTATACTCGAAGATACTCTAATCATAACCTTTCTGTGATCACCTTGAGAAAGGAAACCTAATGTGGACGCCTGATGGTGACCGGGTGTTCCCCTGGTCAACTGCAAGTTTCCTAGATGTCTTGTTCCAGAGGCCCTATGCTACAAGGCGGGACCAAGCGGGACCAATGGACCGGGGAACGTCGTCCGCTGCCTGGCGCTGCAATCAATCGCAGCAGACGACGTTCTCCCGGTCCCTTGGTCCCGCTTGGTCCCACCGTGTATCATTCATAGTGCCGCAGGTGAGACAGTCAGGGAACCTTCAGTATCTATGTTGCTAACCAATGAGTAAAAAGACTGAAAACCAGTCTGCTAAGTTTGAGACGTCCCCTTCTGTATCTGTTCCTCCAACTAAAAGTTTGTTCGTTAGTTTTTCCCTCCACTAGTCAGGTGGTAAACGACATGATTTGCTAACCAAAACCGAAAAGTCCCATGCCTACTCTTACAGTGTAGTTCTTATGTTGGGACAAGGCGAAACAAGAAGCGTTGAGAATATTTATGAAGAGCATCCGATTGATTCTGTCCAGTGCAACTTCCGAATTACAAAAAAAGGCTTTATTTGAGCATTGAAGGAGTCTGCTACCATGACGTATGCATCGTCACATAGTAAGACCGAGCAAGCCTATCAATTTTATTTTAACTTTTTTCCCATTTATTCTGAAAAACTCAGTAGTATTGGAATCTCATTGGCAGAGGTTGCAGACATTTGGTGTTCGTCACCACTTATATAGAAAAAAAAACACACTAAAATCGCCGGTCTCGTATTTACTCTAACTTTGCCGTGCAATGTAAGTTTCATACAAAAACCGATATTAGAGCTTCTCCTCCGCCCCCGATGCCCTTCAGGTTTATGTGTTGCATCCGGCCACATCTGTACAACAAGAAAGCTTTATAACCGTATTGTCATGACCCTATATCTGGCAGCACGATTCATTTGCACTGCCCATGTACTTTGTTACACTGGAACTTGCGCCAGATTGTACGGTGAAGTAAAATAGGGATGGCATTGCGGGCAGTGACAATCCATCAAGGCGCTTGCTGTGACCGCGTTACGTACAAAGTGACAGAGGCGCCACTTTCCACGTCTGTTTTTGAACAGGCGTTCGCTCGATGATAGCGACCGAGTCAGCATACAGCGGTGCGGAAGGGACTCTTACCGCTGAGTGCTCATGTTTCTCTGATCTCCACGGGACTACGCACCAAAATAGCGTACCGTAAAATACCGGGGAACACCCGATCACCATCAGGCGTCCACAGTAGGTTCTCTTTTCTAAAAGTGATCACAGGAAGGTTATAATCAGAGTCCACCGCATTTTCACTCAAAGCTGGGTTAATCTAGGCATCGGCGCTTGTGCGGTCAAATCGGGTGGTTAAAGGGGCCCTGCAATCATATTTAAGCGTCTACCTTTTTTTGCGGTTTCCAGGTCTCTTGATGTTCGGGCAAGCCATCGGTCACGGAGAGAGTAACTAAATATCAGTGCGTCATATTTTAACCGGACGACGCGGAAACCTCCTCCACCGACGAGGGCGACCCGCGGTACCGAAAGCGCGCAAAATGTGACGTCCTTGGTCCTGGGCTTGCTACTGGTCAGAGCCGCTAAAAGCTTCTTTTTAGTCGAAATACAAAATATAAGTGTCGCGAACCGTTTCAATTACGTATAAAAGTAGTTTTTGTTCACTATTTTAGATGAGAATAGAAACAAATGCAGTTTATAAAGTACGGAAACAAGAATTGACCCGTCAACATACCCGCCACCAAGCGGTGGAAAAGGCGGCGCATACTAGAAAGAAGTAGTGGGATCAGGCGCCGACACGGAAAGTTCCCGGATGTACGCGGCAGTGCTGCAGTCGTATGGGCAGGAGGATCCGACCGGCTCCGAGCCTTCCGAAGGCCTTTGGCGAGATGCTTTGTCCTGCGGTTTTGCCGTTTCGCGGTATGGCAGCGCGAAGTGGCTCCCACTCTGAACTGATCTTTACCCCGTGTTTGCTGTCGTTTGCGGCCAATGAAGTGTCATGCCGAATTAGTGTTTAATCACGCAGCAAATGCAATGAGAGCCGCTCTGGCTACCCGCTGCATACAGCCTGTCCAGAGCATGCTTTAGTGGCGCCATCTCGCGCCGTCGACACGGAATTCGGCAGCCGTGAGCGCTCGCCGATGAGCTCACTTACCCCTCCTCTAGTTCACGGTCGCTCAAGCAACCAAGAACGTCATGAGGGAGGTTATTTTTTGCTTGTTTTTGTAATTTTGATTTGCCTATAACTTTTAAAATAAAGTGAATTTCAAGAAAATAAAAGTTACACTAAGTTACTACGTTCAGTGCGCTCAGGTTTGGTGGAAATTGAAAATTAGTAAAAAAAAGTGCTTGCAGGGCCCCTTTAAGCTATCATTTTCAGAATTCCCAAGTTTGGGAAATGTTAATAGTGGACGCTTGAGCGCTAGTTCAGAAAGCCTTGCTCCTGCTCATCGAGAAGGATTTTCCTCGAAAACGTTCCGTCGCAAACGTTATGGAACGAATCCTACACTCAAATTATTCAGGGCTGTTCCTTTGTTCCTTTTTGTTTGTTTATTATCACACGCAGTTTTAATTTGTTTTATGAGAATCTGGGCTTGACCGCACACCCGTGTTCCGCTAGACTCCATATCTCAATTCACACAGTAGTGTTTGATTACGTTTGACGATGCGGTGAATTACGTCCATATACAATTCCGGGTTGCCACGGCAACTAACAGCGGAACGCTTAGTTGTCAGGTTCAATCATTGACGTGTGTTGACGTAAGCCCGGCAACCCAGTCAAACCTAGTTCAACGCTACATTGTGAACGTGTCTAACTTTTAGTCGACTATAGTGTGTTGCGGGCTACGAATAGAAGCACAAGTTCCTCCCACCTCGATTCTTTCTACTTCTGCAGAGTAAGTACTGGGGGGGGCAAAACCACCAGTCATGGCGAGCGGAGGGATTTGCAGAAGGAGCTTTTCTTCACCGTCTTATGTCACAACATACTCCACTCGTTGTCATGTCAAGAAAAGAAGGACGTCTTGCGCATCATTATTGCGCTGCGCAAAGTAGTTCTCACAAGATTTAGCTGAAGCAATCATTTTGGCTTTTCAAAAGTAACGGTGATGAGTTCAGTGTGTTATAAAACACTTGGAAAAACAGCCTGAACTTAGGGAAGAAACGTACAAAGAAAACAGGAGAGATGAGACGAGACTGCTGACTACCAACGGGTTTCAGTGAAAACTTCTTCCTCATGCTGTGGCGTCCTTCAGCAGAGGCATTTTTAACAAATAATCTACAAAGAATTTTTTTCAGAAAGTACACTGCCCCACTCCAGCTCATGCTGTCCATACGTTGGGTGGGGCACACCGAAGTTTTTGAATAATATAAACAAATAGACGGTGCGCTGACACAATCTTCGGCGTGGTCCTCGATGGCAAGCGCCACGAGCACCTCGCGGGACTGAGGGTTCCGGTGTCTATCTAGGGTGGTGATGTCCTCGAAAGCTGCACTGCACTGCCAATTTCTGCTCTGGAAAGCCAAGTTACCTGCTCCCGTTCTCCTCAAAGATGCTGCATGTTTTCGAGCTCAAACGTTTATGCGTCGGCCAGTTTGCCCGATGTAACACTTTCCGAAGGAAAGTGTTACATCGGATGTAAGGGATGTAACACTTTCCGCAGGAAAGTGTTACATCCCTTTCACTAAACAATGTTACATAATTTTCATTAAAACTCGATGGTAAAATGTTACATCATTTTTCCTAAAACTTGTTGATACTCAGCCGTCTCGTCTCGTCTCTCCTGTTTTCTCTCCACGTTTCTTCGCTAAATTCAGGCTGTTTTCTTTTTTTTTTTCAAATTTTCAAACGTGTACGTTTTGACAAAATAACATAAAGCTAATCTAAGATGATATATACATTAACTTATCACAGGAAGAGAGAAATTGTTAACGTTCTGCGAGGAGCCGGACCTTTTCAGCACGCAGCGTTAAGGAGCTCGTGTCAAAGAAAGGCCTGCGTCACCGACGTGACGGGAAAATCCTGATTGGTCTAGGTCATGACGTCACAGCCACATGACTTAGCGCGAGAATATCAAACAACCCACACGTCACGTGTGGAATGAAAGTAATTAAAAAAACATTACATGTATTATAATGCAAATAAATGCAAAGGCGCAAGTGAGCTAAACAAGAATAATGAAAATAATCCCTCGAGAAGGGGACCAAGAGGGACAAAAGACAAACACAAATCTTCAATCTATTTGGAGATTTGTGTCTGTCCTTTGTCCCTCTTGTTCCCCTTCTCCAGGGATTGTTTTCGTCATGACATGTAATGTGAATTAAAGGCCGCCTCATGCCTCAAATGATTTGACTTCTTGAAAATAATTCACTCGCTTTAAAAGAAATTAAAAAAAAAAATTTAGGCTCCAGAGAAAACTACGTGATCCCCCGGAGTACGTCACTCAAAAGGCGAAGTGGAGAGTTAAGAGGCACTTTGACCTTCGATTTGTTTCATTTTTTTACATAAAAATAAGAGTTCGCGTGAAAATGCGGTTTTCTCTTCTTCGTTCCATGGGTGACAGATCAATTTCCGCAATTAATTGGCCAAAGTCTGAAAATTGTTGCACCGCCCTTTTAAACAACCTCCAAGATATATATATATATTTTTTTTTACTGCGTTTTTTTCTTATGTGAGCGCGAATATAGAGTTATCTATGTGGATTATAAAATTCAGATTTTTTTTTAAATTTAATTCTCAGGCGTACACGGATTGTTCGTGCATCATGCACGAGGGCGAGCCCTTCGAGGTGGGGATGGGCGCCCCGGTGACGGCTCAGGCGGACCGGAAAAAGTGCGCCCTGGAGTGCAACGCCCTGGGGCTTTACTTGACCGGCATCTCCCTCTACATGTTCTTCACTTTTCTGCTCTACACGCCTGGCGTGTCGGCTACCATAAGGTATGGACAACACGCCACGTGCGCTTCAGTCTTTAATGGGAACACATTGGAAGCACTAGACCTTTTGCTAGGTTATCCTAAAGACACGGTATATTGGGAAGGCAGCGCCATTGTCTTTCTTGCCTGCCAGCAGGACACAAAGAGACACTAAAGCACAGGCGAACTAAATTTCGCAAGGGAATCGTCTGATCGGTCTCAATTGCTTTAGCGATCGCCATTTCTGTCGCTCCAGATATTTAAAGCCTTGAAAGGGTAGTTCTGAACCAGTTGCTCTAAGATGGCCATGGCTTGAGCGCCATCATGCTGAAAGCGTTCCTCGACAGTATAAGCGTCTTTGGAGCTGTGCATGCAATCCACCCTTTTCCTCCTTTTCCGGTTCGAGAGTATAAAGTGCATGTGTTGCCAGGCAGGATTAGGCTGGGGGAAAACAGGGCTACCGTTTTGCTTGACGCGAGTGGCACTGTCTGATTTCCGGTGTACTTGGAACATGCCAAAGCGCTGTGTTGCGGTCGGGTGTCGCAAACGGCACCAACCAAGAAAAGAAAGGAGTTTCTTTGTTTGTTTTGTTTGTTTTTGAAGGGGAAGGGGGTGGGGAATTTATTTTGATGTAAGAGTGGCGTGGGTTCGCGCGGTAAACGGGGGTTGACCCGTCAGGCCCCACAAAGACTTGGGAGGCAAATGCATACCCGACTAACGACTTAATTTTCATGAGAATCTTAATTTCGCGAATTTCGGTCACCGCGAAAAATAGATCTCGCGAATATATTACAATATAGTAAAGAATACATGGCAAACCACTCCTAAACGTGAAATCTTCTGCCCGCAAAATAGTCCTGAAATTTGCAAAATATCGAGCCAGCAAATATATAGTCGTTTACATTATTCGGAGCTTACTTCGACACAGGTCACTCACTTTAATCGTACTTCGGAAAAGCACGCTAGAAAGTTGAGTGGTTGTTACATTGCCGCTTTATAACACAGAGAAAACCATCGCTGTACCAATATCACCCAGACCTTATGCCGACTGTGTTCACTGACACGCAACCACAACAATCGCGTTCGCTACCAGCGATGGAAAGATGGCGCGCCCACCGATAGTTAGGGAGTCACAGCTTACCTGTGCCGCCCATGAGGCTCTCAGTGTCTCTCGAGAACCGCGCCGATACTGTATGCGGCGCCTTCTTCATTGACGGAAGGCGGGCGCCCCGGACGAGGTGTATCCCAGAGCCATCTGAGGTGTTCCATCCAACGTTGCGGACGTAGCCCTCTTCCTTAAAAGCCCATCCTGGATGGACCTGTCACAGCCAGTCCGTATTGCCACGCATTGTCTTACGATAGGCCCGCGAAGTGCAGTGGCTTCTGAACCCAAACGTCGGGCAAAAGCGGAATCTCCTCCGCAATCTTCAGTTGTCACGGAAGAGTAGCGGAGCCACAAAAGCTAGACAAACAAACGACGTACCGAAAAACAAACCTAGCGACGTGCAGAGGTCAAGCCTAATGTCGACCTTGTTTTCCACCTAAGAAACCGTCGAACCCAGTCACAATCGGGTTCCAATGTCTGCCAGTAAGTGACGCGCCACATCCGAGGAAGCGTGTGGATTAACTTATCCATCATGCTTATATCCAAATATCTAATAAAACTATATTGTTTTAGAGCGCAGCTCTTAGGCGCCCGTTCCCGGCTTGAGCGGCATCGCCGTCGCCGTAACCGCGCGTTGCATTATGGGAAGTTCCCGTAATGACGTCACGTGTCACGTCACGTGACGTCACACGTGACGCCACTCGACCCGGGAAAATTTTTCCACTAAATTTAGCGAAAAACTTTCCCGCCAAATTTAGCGGGAAAACTTCACCCTCGTAACGTCACACGTGACCCTCCCCTCCTCCTCCTCAAGAGCTGCGCCCTAACCCGGCATTGCAGAGAATCGTGAACGTGTTTCATTTTTTCTTGCGTAATTCAAGACAGAAATTCTATTTTTCAATCCTGCCAAGCACAGGCGCCACAAGTGGTGGCCATGCGAAAATGAGCACTTGTTTCGCCGGTGTGTGCAAACATCTCCGCATGCCAGAAATGTATTTATAAAGCAACCTGTCACCGCAAATTTTGATGGGTTCACGAGGACCGACGAGGTCAAAGAGAAAATGCTCATCCCATGGAACAAAATAGCGACCCTACGGGGAGCTTAGCGATACTTTTTCAGGATCCAGTAGAGCGATCTCGCTAAAAGTTCCAAGCACGAGTGACGTCGCCATAATTCTACGGCAGGCGTCAGTTTACGAGCCAGCTTGTGCCGCCTCGCTTGCTGTACTCGCGCAGACACTGAGCGGGGTTATCGCTCGTGGAGAACGACTACCGTTCCCTTGATTCGTGGCGGCAGTGGTGGCGTGAAGAAACGGGCTGAGATCGATTTATTATCCCAGCACCAAAAAAAAAATCCGCGAGTGTATATACTCTCACACTCTGCACATGCTGGCGTTTGCCAAAGTAAATGTTCTAAAAAAATAAAAAACCGAAAAAAATGGTTCTTTTGCACGTGCGTTTGACAACGCCTAATTTTGATCCTTTACTTCGAATCTTTCAACCAGATAAGATGGGCTGCTTTCCCGCCGGTCTCTTCATTCCTCTTATTTGCCTAGTGTCTTCTCTCGCAGAGTTATCAACTGCGCGCGTGTATGGAGGATTACTAATCATACCGAAATTATCATAGTCGCTGACAGTTTAACAAACGCGGGGTGTGGCGCGAGTCGAGCATCTCATAATCACTCTGCAGCCACAGAGACTGCAGCAGTTGCCGATAAGGAAATCGGACTAATTACGAAACGGGAAAAGCGTTGCCGTGATTGGCCGGTGCCGCGCTTGACCTTGGGGCCGGCCAATCAACGCCGCCAGATTTCTCGCCGACTTTTTCGCCAAGTGTCCGGATTACGGCCCCACATCACCATCCATACATTGATTGCAATGGAAATATTTGTCCTCGTTTTTCTAGTTCTGTTCAGTGAACCCGAAGATAAGACGAAATTATACTCTTTCAAATCCCAAGGTTACGATTGATTTTCGGTCATATGGTAGCGGTGACTGTCACCGTTCAACTATTCTTACGGGCCTAGTATACGCCGTCGCACACTGCTTGTCATGGATGACAGGTTCTGCTGTCCGTCACGAGTAGTCAAGTGCATCGCTTGTACAGAGGGGCAACGTAGCAAGTCCCAGGGAGAGGAGCAGTTCACTGGTCAGTTCTGACTACAGACATGTATTTGGTGTATATCTCAACGCTGTCCTTTCTGTCCTGGTGAACTGGTCGAGTGGCCAGGGTCGGCCATGGCACAGTGCCGCTGTCATGCCCGGCCTCAAATTGTATGTGTCCTTTTAGCGCTCATTTTTTAACCATATCATCATATTTGGTTCGTATTTTTTCTGCGCATTGGGTTGAGTGTGCTTTTCCTGTACAAACCAGAGGTTGGCATCTTCGGTTGAACTCATTCACTCGCAGCTAGCTCAAAACAAAGAGTTGAAAACTCACACCCTCACCCTCACGGGCACATTCACCTTCAGGTTCTCACTCACGAACTCGTGAGCTCACTGAACTCATGAACTTACCAAACTCACGAACTCACCGAATTCATGATCTCCCCGAACTCACGCCCCTCACCGAACTCATGAACTTACTTAACTCCTGACTCATTAAACCCATCTCACCGAACTCATGAGCTCGCCGAACTTATGAGCTCACCGAACTCATGAACTCAATGAACTTACGCCCCTCACTGAACTCACAAACTCAAACCCCTCATCGGATTCATGAACTCACTCACTCAGCGACCTCACTCACTCAGAAGAAGTTCTCGCCCTCACCATAATCGCGGCGCTGGCTCGTGTTGCGCGCGGGTTGCGCTGCTTTTACAACTCCGCCACGGTCGCTGCCGCCTTCCGCCGCTCCAGCACCAGCCGTCACGTCGCCAAGTGAAGAAATGTTTTGTCTTTTTGCTGGGTTCGCTTCGACTCCGGCGCGCCGGCCGAGCGCTTGAGGAAGGCACTCTTTGTTGGGATATAAGGGCGCATCATCGCGAGTCTTGTAAACAAGTATTCTTTACGGTGTGCAGTTTGTTTCAAGCATTCGCCACAACTTCGCGCAAGTACAGACTGAGCGTCTGCATCGCTGTTTATGCAGGCGTGAATTGTTATTATTCCAACACGCACTACCGTGGGTGGGTGTTTTGTTTCTGAATAGAATACTGGGAACTTCTTAATGGTAGGACGGTTTGATCGGAAATCCGTTGTCGAGTAGAACTATTTCGGAACGGTCTGTCTTTATATTTATCGTATTTCACACAAATTATTTCATCTAAAATAACTGCCTGGTGAATATTTTTCCTGAAAGAATGAAAGATTGAAGAACTTTATGCGTACCATAATATTGTATATTATTTGATATTGCGTCTCTCGAGTTCTGTTGCACCGCACGTGCCAATTAAAGTTGAAACGTTCCTACCTACAGATTTTGCGCCTCGTAAAATGTTTACTTCATAGATCCTGACATAAAATCGTGATCGGTGTCAGATAGATGCATTCGGTATTCTTGTTGCTCAGACAATGTGTGTTTGTGTTCCGACTTGTCGATGTGTTGAATACAAATATTTAAACTACATGAACAAAGTTGTGTTTTCTACTAAAATCATTTATTAATTTTTGATGGATGGATGACTTGACCTCTAACTAATGGCCTAATCAGGATATCCAAGCTATATTTGAGGAGGGGAAGGGCGTGTTATACAACTTAATTATACGGTCTACAATTCTTCAAGATTTGTTTTGCTAGATACAAAAAAATTGGTGCGCTTAATTTCTTCGCGCGGGGAAGGTTGCCTCCATGCACGCACGCGCCTGCACACATATCAAATATATTTAATGACTTGGGTTTGGATCTTACTCCGTCCCACCTGTTATTTACTCGTACAAGTATAAATATTTGCAAACAAAAACAAATAGGGTTCTTCGTAAACGAGTGGGAAATGTATCGGCGTGAGCTGTACCGGTTGATAAATAATATATTATAGGAATCATAACTAATATCTAAATACTTTTGGTTCTAGTAAGAAGACCCTTTCTCCGGCACGCGAAAACGTTTTCGGGCGCAGCCTATGCCGAAACTGACTATGCTCAATGGCCCCCTCTTGAGTGACTAATGGTGCCAGATAGCAGGATAAAACGTCGATTTGTTATCACCAATATTAAGTGAAATTAAAAAAAAGGTCGTTTCATTATTCTTTGAATGCAATCTAAAAACTTGTTTGCAATTTTTCATGACAATCCACAATCGCACAATCGAACCAACTTTTATATCCTGCCAAATAGATGTTGCAGTCCTTAAACCAAATTCCGAACAAGTCTGGCGTTTTGGGCGTACTCAAACACAAAAACGTCTATGCTTTTTTTTGTTTGTTTTTTTACAACTTGAACAAACAGGCGAGTCGCGACAGTCCCCAGCTGTCTGTCGTTTGAACATTGGTTTCAGAATTAGCGACCGTGCATAAGACGAGCACACTCAAAATAGCAACGTCTGCCTTCAGGCGTACCGGCGTAGCGTCTGTTTGCCCCCTTCCCGAAATAACAAAACGCCGCGCGTCTATCGGTGCCTCGCAAGCTACACGAGAGGGAGAGAGCCCTGTCCCTTCTCTCGTCACCCCGCCACGAAGCAGCGACCAGTGGCAAGAGACCACGCTAAGCCGGCGCGAAGCGAGCCGGAACCGAAGAGCGCAGATATATCAATAGGCACCTTTCCTCCTTTCCCATCACTCGTAGAGAACCAGCCGTACGAGCTAACAGCGCCATTGCGAAGCGTGCGTCGACTCAACGTCCCCAGAAATGTACGTAAAAGCCGCATGACCCGCCCTTCCTCGACGTCACCCAGCAAACCCTCATCAAAATCATTGCCCCTCATGAACATTACGCCTCGCCAAACTCACGAACTTACCGACCTAATGAACTCGCGCCCTTCACCGAACTCTTGAACTCACCGAACTCACAAACTCACGTTCCTCACCGAACTCATGCGCTCACCGACCTCATAAACTCATGCCTCTCACCGAACTCATGAACTCACCGAACTCATGAACTCACTGAACTCATAAACTCACCAAACTCAGCTCACCGAACTCATAAACTCACTGAACTCATGCATTTACCGAACTCACGCCCTTCACTCAACCTCAAACTCATGAGTTTTCCCGGCTCATGAACTCACTCACTCTCACCTCACGCCTGATCGGTGAGGGTGAGTGAGTGGGCTCAGGGTGGGTTTTGTCGAGGTATGGCACAAACAGGCAACGTCCCAATTACGGTTGTTTAATACTATGGAAAAAAATAATTATAATAACGACTTTGTTTTATTTGATTTAAGTCTGGTTCACATACTTGCGACTGCCTACGACCAGAGAGGCTTAAACCCGGTTTAACCCTCTCCAACTGTAAACAGGCACAAATGTATGGACCAGCATTTAGTCGTCCCATTTGAAGAAGTACGTCATAGTTTTATATCAAAACAATGCTGTGGTAAAGCGCAAATACTTTACAAAATTTGATTTTCTGTTATATATTTTAATGTGTCCAAGATAAATGGTGTATAATGAACTGGGCTCGCAATGATTCCCTTACAGATGTGTTCACGAAGATCTGAAAGCACTATCTCTAGGATTACAATGGATGGCAGTGACACTGTTAGGTGCGTACATGATGCTTTTTGGAACATATCACCGTTTGTGCTATTCGAAACTTAGCGCCATGCCTGACATTATTGATTTTGAGAATTCGGGACACACCGCGTTACTGCATTTATTCCAAGTGTGCGGAAAGGTGGCGAGAGGTGTCACTGTATTGCAAAGATGGAGGCGCCGCCTGGTTAAAAGCCGGACGCCCATAGATGGTGGTGATGATTGAAATGCATGGTGTCAGGCGATATGGCGTTGAACCGTCTGTTTAACGCCGCAAAAATAAACCGCAGGTTTCGAAAAACTCGGACTACGCCAGAATGTAAAGTTAGGAGTTGAATGAAAATATTTCCAAGTTTCAAACTCAGCCGCAGCATGGTTCAAAAGATAGAAGCGATGTTTAGAAATTTCAGGAATACAACATGGCGGATCCATCTTGGCAGCATACTATTCGTCTCCACGTATTCAAAAAGTGACTCATTGATTTTGTTTTAATCACCTCACAAGTTTTAGTCAGGTAAATAATTTACCTTGGGATCAGAACACTTTTTCATCTTATTTACACCACCAGAGCTACATTCGACATTGTCGACAATGCGTAACACTTTTGATACTGCAAAAAAGAAGAAAAAACATCGGTTCGTGTATTTTAGTTGACATTTTGCACTTTAATCAACCACTTTCAGGAATCACACGTTAGACTTTGGTGGTGAACGTACGGGTATTCATCTTTCAGACGCTTATCACCCAGGCAGAAATTATCAAGTCAGTGAGCTGTGGATGCACCCGTGGCGTCTAATTTTCCGCAGAAGATGGCTACATCGCAAGCTCAAAACGCGTTTCACGGCTCAGTAGACAAAAATGGCACGAAGAAGGCAATTGATGGAGCCGTTTATACCCCACGCGCCGCGGGTCGAGCGTTTCATTTAAAAGTCCGTCATGGTCGCTTGTGTATTCGTTTAGCGCGAGCATGCTCTCTCATATGTAAAAATCTCTGGAACCAAAATTTCTGAAATAGGGGATCAACAGCATTATACGGCTCGGTGAGGCTATTCTTCTAAAGCCCAAGCAAAAGTGGGTGTTCGCAGGACGCAATATATGAGGGCGCTGTTTAAAGCGCATGCTCAGAACGAGGTCACAATAAAGGGGCTGTGCAACTGTGTGAGCAAGGTTCGTGACGGGTCTTGGGAATCGAATTAATAAACAGAATCTTAAGCTCTATCAACGGTGGCAGTCACCTGCAAGCAGACATGTATGTACACGCTACCCAAAGAAACTAAACACCGTTACTCGTTACCGATATTCAAAAGGAATGAGTTACTTTACCTCAAACGTAGCGAGTTACTTTTCTCGGTGCTTCGAGGATCAAATACACGACTGTTTTGGTTTCATGGTTTATTGTTTTCTTTTAAGTAATCGTTGCATTTAAGCAGTCTCTGTCTCTCGAAGTTTGCATCAGTTATGTTTTCCTGCTTCATTGAGAATACATCTCCGGCGACACTGAAGAGTGGGTAGGAACGTTTCTCACTTTACATCAGCTTACTGGCACTAGTGTGACCCAAGAATACTCTAACGCGCCGCCACTTACGACGAAGCCTCTTTGTCGCGGTGGAATCCCAAGGATAGAAGTAAAATCTTTCGTTCAGTCTCTCCTTCACAAATTTTGATGAGGGAGCTGCGGGGACAACGCCAACAGTGCGATCCCCAGGAGTGCGTCATCAAGCTTTGCGATCCCCGCCGTGAGGATATTTAATCGTTGCTCCTCCAGTGGAAACGAAGTCTGCGTAGGCATTCGAATTTGGCTCGTTACAATCAATGCCTCGACGTGCATTCGGGTAAAGGCTCATGCCCAATCTCTGGGATGACGGGAATAGGTGTGGAACTCAGCATGCGTCCTGTTCTCTGCCAAACCCGCAGCGCGTGGCTAGGTTAAGAACATTGGTGGCATATATTCGGCTTCAGATCACGTGGACGTTTTTTCTGGCTGTTAGTTGAGTAGGTAAATGCTGTTCGTTTTTCTCGACTTTTTCCTGCAACCTCCACTGCGTATAGAAAAGAAAAAGCTACGTCTGTCTCATAGGTCATAAATTACCACGGATAATTCTAATCTATATTGATTGAAAGTAGAAAAATTGTTGCATCGCCCCTTTAATGGACTGCTAAGACCAACAACCTTGACGATGCGGTATGCGCGTTGCAAAGGAACCATGGAAGCTCGCCGTCAGCACGTGCTCAGCAGACGCGCACCCAGCTCCGACGTCACGCAGATGCGGTGGCGCTGCTGTCGACGCGGCCCATGCGGAGATGTATCACTTGTCGCGGATCTCGTTCCTGCGCGAAGGTCTATGCGTGTTATTTTTGTAAACAGCGCGTAGGACTATCCGTGGTATGCAACAACTAGCGTGAAACGAAGTCTAGGTACCGCTGTCTAAACACCAACAAAGAAACAAGTACTCGTTTGCCCACACCTATTCACGCCAAGTGAAGCTTCTGCGCATCCGCAGTGCCGACAGCGCCACCCCGGTGGCGTGACGTCAGAAAGTTGAGTCGCTCTATACAGAGTGCAAGTAAAGGCCTGTTCACACATACAGCAGAGCACTAAGTTAGCGCTAAGCTAGTGTTCGAAAGAACGCTCATGTGCACTTCCTAGCGCGTGACTTAGTTCTAATATAGCGCGCGATTAGCGTCTTTGTAGCGCCTTGTTAGCGCTTCTTGTACGGCGGATATTGCTGCGGATTAGCGCGTGCACTGCGGTTCCGGTTCCTGTGGTTGGGCATGCATCAACAGTACCATGGCGGACATGTGGGACGCTGAAATAAAAACGCGACGAATGCTCTTATATACGCAATCATATGTGTGTGGACGACTTAACGCCCAGAAGAGCCATCTGGCGTCGCACAAAAGTTTTCGTCACCGAGATACCGACGGGTATCCGGCGAACCTTGTTCCCAGGCTGAGGGACCGAGGCAAAGAGCTCTTTCGAAGGTGATCATTTCTTAACTGCGTGTTCTTGAAACCAGGTTCACGCCTTCCGAATAGAAAGCGATGAGGTCGTACCCAATCAATTAGTCGCTCAGAGTTCATGACTCTGGATCGTCTGCCCGACCCTTTGCTCGGAGGGCGGCTCTTTTACTTCCTCTTCTTTCAATGCCAAAGGAAAAAGAACGACGGAATCGCCGTGCACGCGCTGTTCCGCAGCAGCAAGCACGGCACAAAGAGCGTGAGCTTACACTGCGCTGCTGAAGCGCTAACCGAGCGCTTACTGAAGCGCTTCTGAAGCGCTTACTGAGCGCCTACTGGAGCGCTTCTGAAGCGCTAAACGAGGGCCACGTCACGCGCAAGTCGGTGCCACATATTTCCAGCGCTCATGAAGCGCTAACTGGGCGCTCCGCTGTATGAGTGAACCGGCCTTTAGCCTGCTTCTTGAACAGGGGTTGCGACGATGTCAGAACGCAGAGCTTTAATTGGCTGCTTGGGGGATCGGTGGCCGAGTGGGCTAGCAAGCATACATCAGCTCGGAGAACGTGGAGCGGAAGCTCGCGCTGCAGAACCCAGGGGTCCTGGGTTCAATCCCCACTCCTGCCCTTTTCGATCTCGATGAGCATCGTACCGGCGCGCGCCTCTGAATCACTACTGCGTGGTGCACGTTAAAGACCCCAGGCTAGCGGTTGTATTGCACTGGCTAAATTGCTCATCTACAGCAAGTGACTCGTCGCAACTTTGAAATGGCTGACCAACTACACGCTGTATAAATATCCACACAGCCCCAATTATTTACTAGCTGCTTGAAAAGAAAAATGGTGGGTAGAGATCAAGGCATTTAGCATTTAGGTCTACCTACTATCTTCTTAATCAAAGCCAGTCAGAGCTCGGCATGTTTCTGACGTCACCGCAAATCCTGCGCAAGAAGTAGACGACTTGTTCTCCACATACTACGGCCGAGTAATGACGTTTCCTTTTTTGTTTTCTTTTTTGGGGGGGCGTTAGGCGCCATTCCCGCCGCCACCGTGGTCGGCTTCTTCATCGACAACAGCTGCGTGCTGTGGAACAGCGTGTGCGACCAGATCGGCGCGTGCGCGGTGCACGACAACGGGGTGATGTCGCGCAACCTCTTCACGGTCGTGCTGGTACTCAAGACCGTGTCCGTGCTCCTCTTCCTCAACGCGCTCATCTGTCTCAAGACCGGCGACTCTGAAAGGCACAGCCACGGGGAGGACTCGCCGGACGGCGAGACAAGTTCGGTAAACGCCACCCACAGCGTCCAGTCCCTCCACAAGATGGGGGTCTACCACGCGTCCTCGGTGTCTCTTTACTGATGTCCTTTCACCGTTGCGGTCCAGCCCAGCTGTACTACAACGCTCGGCCAACCCTACTGACGGACATGATAAAGATATTTCGTTAGCAACGTATAGTCTGTTGCAGGTTTAGAATACTAGGATGAGCTCCTCACACAAAGCCCTCCACCGTTTCTACTTTAGGAAAGCGAACGCTGGAAAGGAGGCGAGTGGAGAGGAAAAATCCTCCAGTCAAATTTGCACCATTCATGGCGAGCAGAGGGCTTTCTTCGAGGGGCTCGCATTGCTATTCTTTAACTACAACAGACCAAAGCAAGTTCTTTAAAATACTCGGGCAAATCAAGCCCAGTTTTGTGGTCCCCTTTTCTTCAGAACAAAAGGCGCCGAAAGTGTCAGTTTTCGCAGCTTGCGCCATTTGTTTTTAGTCGTATTTAAAAGAGACGCCGTCTGCTGCGACCCTGTTCAGTATTGCGCTACGCTAGCGGCTCCAACTGTTTTTTTTTTATATGTTACTTAGCGTTACTTTCGGCGTACTGTGTTTCTCGCAGACAATAGAAAGAAGCTGTGCATTAGCGTGTTTGGTGAGATCGTTACCCCAGGGTCTTGGTACATGGTGCCAATTGGCAGTACAATTTGATATACTGGATACAGGGATTCGCATTAGCGTGTATGGTTAGTTCGTTTCCTCAGGATTCTTGTGCATGGTACTTGTACAATGCGAGTTAATATATATATATATTCTAGATGTTTTAGTACTTCCGAGGCTGATTGTCTGTTCGCGTATTGCTGGAAGCCCTCGCTGTCGATCAAGTGCGAACAAGACTGGAAAGATGACGGCGACAGCGGTTGTGCTTCGAAGCTTCCCATACTCAGCACCTGGAGTAAGTTTCAAGCCCTACCTTCTCGCCACGCAACACCACGCCACGTCACGTCACGCCACGCCACTCCACGTCACGCTTGTTTTGTGTGCAGCGGGGACGTACGACAGATACGCCTGTTTTGTTTCGGCGCGCGTGAACGGAAAGTATACTAAATGGGCGAAATACAATTGGTGTTATATGTCTGTCATAGCGTTTAATGTGGTTTGCGATTAATGGTTTGTATATTATGCAGCTGACAGTGCAGACAATTCTACATATATTCTAGACCAATTAAGCGGAACCTTATTTTCCTGTCCAAATACACAAGCGCAAAAGGCACGCAGACCGAGCGCGTGCGTTGCAATACTCGCTGGTGTGGTAGAAGCAACTGTTAGTCAAATCCCAGCCTCGTCGGCAGTGGAAGTATCATGTTGTGTGAGCACACACGAGGATCGTGGTGGCTCGTGGGAATCGAATTAATAAACAAAATCGTGAGCTCTATCAACTGCACGACCACCGATGCTTCTCCGCACAGCTGTTTCGGAAGAGACATCCTGCGGCTGCCGTGGCTACAAAATGATTTGGGCATGATGCAACCCTCGACAACTCGCGCAAACGTTCGGTTCTCGCTCATCTGGGCCTAACGTATCCAGCGGTGTCTCGACGGTTGGGAACTTACCAGGGCTCCACGTCCCGAAGACATCAAAACACCGGCAATATTGCCAGAAGAGCGACTGGACGCTACGACAGAATTGCCGATGCTAAACTTTTAGCTTTTATTTTGTCTAGAAGAATTGTGTCTGCATTTTTAGCGCTGGCTGTATCCCCTTAAACACAAGTTAGCACTTTTTATGTTGTGATATGTTTGCAGCACGTCCATTCATCGTTTATCTGGCATATTGCTCATCACTGTATTACCACGAGCGGTGCATTTATTCGTTACATAATAATGAAGGTGAGCAATCAGGTGTAAATATGTGAAGGTCGTGAGAAAACCGACAGGCTAGTATGTTAGACACGTTCCAGCGTTAAACACATATGGGCCCTATGGCTTATTATTAATAAGCCCACAGAGATGTCATATGCCATGGTGTCGCGTAACATCAGGATGTCACGTGATTTTAGACGTTACGTGAAACTGTGACGTCGCGTGACTTTGTAACGTCACGTGACACCATGGTGTCGCGCGAGTTATAAATTGACAAACAGTGATCCTCGGTCTGTTGGCTGTATTGAAATAGAGTGGCCGAATGTTAAAAATAAAAACGCTGCGATTTATTTATATATAGGTCCTAATACTGAGGTTATATTTTAGCCATGAGTTGCTGCGGACCATTTTGAGCAGCAAGCAAATGCTGGCCCTCTCCTAATAACACCGTATCGCACCATCAAATGCCCTTTCACCCACTTGAGCCAGCAAGGTGGTTTGAAGCGATCAACAGAGACCAACTCCGTAACATAGTAGACGCTATCATTTCAATTGTTTAGTTTCAATAAAAAGGCGTCGTGAACGGCACTAGTGAACCCAGGCGGTAAGTTGGGCTAGTTGGTTTAACATCGTCAAACGTGAAAACAGCGCAAAAAATTGAACAAAGGACAAGTTAAAGGAGTGCACGGACAAAGCGCTGACTGTCAACTAAAGTTTAATTTTCAGGCGAACCAGAAAAATAAACACAGAGCATAGGAAAGAACCAATAAAGACACAAAAAATTTACAACCCAACCGACAAGATTTCTACCACGTCATCACCCTCACACATGCCTGCCATTCTCCCTGATAAAAAGGACCTCATCATCCCCCAAGTGCACCGACGTGCGCTCACACATTGCCCTTCCCCTTTAGATAAAATGAAAAATGCCTAGTCAATCTCCCTGGCGGTCTTACTTTTATTGCGCTCCAAGATCGTCAAGTCATGAAAAACAGGTACGCAGCCGCACCTACTGCAATGTACCGCTAAGTGGCCAGCGGGGGAGGAACGGAGAGGAAGGGAATGTTCCCTCGCCCTCTCGTTCACGCACCTCCCCGTTTGTCCAATGTACACCCTACCACATGTAAAGGGGATCTGATACACAACCCCCACTGCGCATGGTACAAAAGGAGTGCGGTGGTTTACATCACATTGCAAATCACTGTTCCTCCCTCGGTTGACAGCAGTGCACAGGCGTGACAGCTTCTGGGGTGCCGAAAACACTACTGGCACGTTAAACTTACGCGCCACTCGCTTGACCTGATGAGAGAGGGCGTGGAGATAAGGCACCACCACCGGTCTTGTTGTCGGTTTTTGTCTTATCTTAGGACTGGGGCGGCCCCTGAACACCTTTATGAGGGACTCAGCCACGCCCACAATCAACGTAAGAGGGTATCCCGCCGATCTCAGCCTAGATACCTGAAACAAAAGACTGTTCTCACACCTATGATGGCATGACTTCAGCAGAGAAGCCCTCATACACCCCGTAGTAACCGCCCTCTTCACAAGCTTAGAGTGCGCTGAACCGAATGGAAGAACACCCTTCTTTGAACGTGGCTCATAGGACCAACATATATGCGACGGCTGCTTAGTTAGCCTCAGGTCCAAAAACTGTATTGCTCCTGCTGATGGTGTCTCGAACTTAAAGGATAAACCGGGGGAGCACTTCGTAAAGCAGGCCAAGAAATCCAAACACGCGCCTTGAGGGCTCAGGCTCTGGTTGTCATTGCACAGCACTAGGTAGTCGTCCACATACCGAAATACTCTCAAAACCCGACACCCCAAAGATATTGCAATAGACCTGTCACACCTCGCCAGATATATATCACTGAGGACCGGTGCCAAACTCGATCCGATACAGATCCCACTCTTTTGCAAGTAAATTCCACTTTCAAATGTGACATATGTGGAGCTCAAGTAAAAACTCAATAATTCCAAAAAGGAGTCCACCGCAACACCCGTCGAGTTCATGAAGGCAACCGAACCACTTGCCTCTATGCTGTCTCCCACAGCTAGCATCAATTCATCATGAGGGATCGAATAAAACATGTCCTCAACATTGTAGGACACGAACTCACAGCCTCCCGGATTGTCTTTTTTTAGGAAATCCACAAGGGCATCAGAATTGCGAATGAGAAAAGGGTCGTCCAACTTAAGCAGAGACAGGTGACGCTGAAGAAACGACGATACATGGAGCTGCCAAGAATCTTTCTGGGTAACAATCCCCCTGAACGGATCGAGCTCCTTGTGGGTCTTTACTGTGAAGAAGACCTCGAGATTGAGGCCTTTAGCGCCCGACACAGACTTCTTAAGGTTGTCCAACCCAAGCTGGCCGCAAAGCCTCACGGCCCGCGCCTTAACCTTCTTCAGCTCCACCCCCGGCACACCTCTGAAATTCTTCAGCACTGCCTGTCTCGCTCTTTCTTGAAACAAGCCCTCAGGGACCGGTGTGTTCATGAATGTGTGGAAGGGTTGATAAAGAGGAAAGACCGAAGGCCTTTACCTAGGGTGAAGCTTGGACCCGTGGTCCAGTTGTTCAATGAGTCGAAGTTGAAACTGTTGCAGTCGGACAAAGAGGGAGGTTTTGTTGTAGTGCCTGAGGGCTTGTTTCAAGAAAGAGCGAGACAGGCAGTGCTGAAGAATTTCAGAGGTGTGCCGGGGGTGGAGCTGAAGAAGGTTAAGGCGCGGGCCGTGAGGCTTTGCGGCCAGCTTGGGTTGGACAACCTTAAGAAGTCTGTGTCGGGCGCTAAAGGCCTCAATCTCGAGGTCTTCTTCACAGTAAAGACCCACAAGGAGCTCAATCCGTTCAGGGCGATTGTTACCCAGAAAGATTCTTGGCAGCTCCATGTATCGTCGTTTCTTCAGCGTCACCTGTCTCCGCTTAAGTTGGACGACCCTTTTCTCATTCGCAATTCTGATGCCCTTGTGGATTTCCTAAAAAAAGACAATCCGGGAGGCTGTGAGTTCGTGTCCTACAATGTTGAGGACATGTTTTATTCGATCCCTCATGATGAATTGATGCTAGCTGTGGGAGACTGCATAGCAGCAAGTGGTTCGGTTGCCTTCATGAACTCGACGGGTGTTGCGGTGGATTCCTTTTTGGAATTATTGAGTTTTTACTTGAGCTCCACATATGTCACATTTGAAAGTGGAATTTACTTGCAAAAGAGTGGGATCTGTATCGGATCGAGTTT